TTTATTGACCAATACACGAATATTTATCCTAATCTGCAAATCTCACTTGAACTTTTGTGTTGGGTGCTTGTAGAGTGGCGATTAACTTTGCTTTCTCTTCGTTCAGTAGATTATCATTGCTTTTATTTTTATTATCACTCTCATTCATATCACTATTCATATTCAGTGCATTCTGAAGGGCGTCCGCTGACAACTTGGCACTCTCGTCCAGGTCTCTCAACACTCGTCTCTGGTGTAAACACGGGATCGCTGATTCAGGCACATGGTGGTGACGGACTGACGATGGACCGATGAAATAAGGACGCGAGAACGTGCACACTCGAGAAGATTTGTGCTAAATATTTTTGTTATTATTCGTGTTATTATCATAAATAATCATCATGAGAATTGTAAAATCTCAAAAGATGAAAGAATAAGAATATGAAATAACCAAATATACGGGTAGTCCACTGGTATGTGTTAGTTCAACCCAACCTTCGGGTAACACATCAAAATAATCCACTCCGCGATGTGCCAATACGATTTTTTCACTTTAAATTTTATTTATTATTATAAATGAGTCTATATAATAAATAATTATCATATTCATTATTACTTGAATGATATTTATTATCATTAAAGTTTACTAACCGCATCTGACCTTCTTCAGGAATGGGTATTTTACCAGGTTTATCTCCGTCCGCAAACGGTTTCTCTAACAGCGAATCTATATTTTCCTCACATTCATCATCACTGCAAAATCATCATTATCACTGATTACTATATCAAATCTACATTACGAGAGCAATAAAGGCAATGGAACATACGTGATTTCACGCTCTTCAAAAGTGGTCTCTTTAACACTCTCTTCGTTGTCCTCTTCAGCGTTTTGCTCATCTGTTTTACATTATTATTATTATTATTATTATTACATTCTGAATACATGAAACTTTAATTTTAAGAAATTCAAAATAAAATTTTCACCGTAAAATTAAAGCTGAATCACCGTTATTTTGTGGAGCTGACTGTAGGTAAGAAGTAGACGGTGATTCTACACCGTCTACCATATCATTTTGTCCAGGTGGTTTAGGTGGTGGAGGGATTATGTCATGGCTCACACCGACTTCATTCTTAATATTTTCATTTGCACTGAAATTAATTTCAGGTGGCGGAGGAGGTGGTGGTAACAAGCCGTCCTCGTCTTCTGCGTGGTGCACTTCAACCGCTGCTCGCTGATGCTCCTCATTGGCTGGTGTTGTCTTCTCGTTACCGTATTCCTTCGGAGAGCTGATTGGTTGTTCGGAGAGCTCC